GTAATTCTCATTAAAAAATTTGATATTTTTTACTTAGACTAATGAAGTTGAGCAAGCATTGTAAATTTGTTTTTCATTTCTAAAATTTTAGCTGATCACCACAAAAATTTTCCTCGTAACCAATTGCAGTATCTTCAAGAAGTTGGATCAGGATGGTTTGGTCAGGTTGTAGAAGGAGAAGCCCAAAACATCACTCCTCCTCAAAGGAAAACAAAAGTGGTTGTCAAAATTCTCCGGGAAGATGCTTCACCATCTGAACATGCATTATTTTTGCGTGAAGTTCAACCATACAGGTAGACTAATTGTAAAATTCATACATATCATGCTCAAATTGCTTTAATTTGTTAATTACCCCATAATGAAACATTGCGTTTAATATCGAAACAAAATGCTATCTCCCAATATGCCTAAACTTGATTTAATAGTGATATTCAGATTGTTATTTTTTAATTTTCCAAACAATATTTCCTAAAAAATTTAATAACTTCTATTTTTTAACTTCAATCTGTACGTAAAAGAAATTTGTTTATTTTAAATTATTATAGGAGAGACTTTTTAAGAAAAACATACATGTACATGTGGAACTATTTTGTTACAGATGTTTTTATTTCAATTACAGATATAACTTTAAAAAATCAGCAAAAATAGTATATATTTTGGGAAAGAACTATAATAATTATGAACGTAACCCATTTTTTTATTTTCATAAGTGACAAACAACGGTGCAATTCAAGAGTAAGTTTTTGTTTTACATGATGTACATGGTTCCCAGGAGTCAGTCAGGAAAAATAAAAAAAAAGCCACTGGATTTTATGTTTTGCATTCCTGGCCTGGGAAACATTTTACAAAAAAAAACTGGGAAATATCAGTGAATTTTTGGTGAATCGGTGATGCGTCTAGAGCATGGATGTCAAAAAAGTAAAATTGTTAGTGCCAATAATTGTATACAGGTTAATTCTGTAGCATTTAATAAATCAATGTTTTATGCACAAATAGTTTTTTATATATATATATATATATATATATATATTTGAAATGCTGGCTTTAATGTCTTTCATTGTGTCTAAATTCAAGGGCCATATTGTGAATACTTTGAGTAAAAATTTAACTTAGTAAGAATAAAATGAAAAGTCTAACATTGAGTGTTGTAATACTATTATGCAATATCACTGTTGTCAGTGAAGAACATGTTTGCATACAGTAACATTCATAGGTGTGATTCTATAACCTTTACCAGTGTGATTGTACATTGTAATGGGATAGGATATAATCAACTATAAACACTGTGGACATTTTATCAGCAGGTCTGAGGGTGTGTGTGAACAGTACTATATATATATATGTATAATTATAATTTATAATTTAGTTATTTGTAAGTATAATCTTACAATGTCATGAACAAACAAAACTTGCATAAACCTGAAAGCTTTTGGTAATGCAATCCACAATAAATATATGGTTATGTTAATTCAAAGATTTCAATACTTTTAAATAGATGAACTTGTCATGCACAGTTTCAAAGCATGTGTGAAAGTAATACAATGTGATCTTTGTGATATTGTTAATGTGTAAGTGTTTTATAGATATTGGAAATATAATTTTACTGCAGTGTATTCTTAACAACTGAAAGTTTTGTACATTTTTGTGCATATATGCACATCAGAAAAACATGCTTTAATACATATTTGACCAACAAAAAGTATGCTTGTTAAAGAGTATTCCATTTTACAACAGGGGTCAAGTTTAAGTGTAGTTATCACAATTATTAAAATCTATAGCATTCTTTATGCTGTAATAATGCTTTTGTGATTTAAATTAGTTAAAAAATGTGATTGGCATGTACTTTGATAAACTGTGTTTATTGTATATGTTCTGATAAAGTATTAATAATTTGAGAACAGCATGACCAATCATTTTGAAATTTTGCAAGATAACATCTAAGCAGACTGTGACTTAATATATACAGTCTTTTCTTTACCAAGCAATATATGAATAATGTTTTACAATTTCTCATTTTATTACAAGTAAAAGTTTAATGATACATTACAAGCATAAATAAAATGGTTGGGGAATGAAATTTTTTGGTCAGGGAATTTCATTGTACCCAAGATGTGGGAATCATAGATGTAGTTCAAAAAAAATCACTTGTCATTTATGCTGCTAATAGATAAAATCTTCTCAGCTGGAGGAAAAATCACAAGTTTAGTGATAATGAAGTTGGTTTAGTTTTTGTTAATCATTTACATTATACTGTTAAAATGTTTCCACCTAATTTCTGGTTGTTGTTTTTTTTTATTGGCAAATGTTTTCATTATTGTGGCATTCTATGTTAGCTGCATCATCACCACTTATAAAGTCTAATTTTCCAGTGTCAGAAACATGAGTATGCATTTCTCAGTTTTCAGAAAATTTGTCATCAATTTTCAATTTTCCCAGCTTGGTCATATTTTATGAAAACAATTTTTATATCTTAATTAGAAACTGAAATAGTTTTTGTGTTTTAAAAATCTGAAAAAAATCTTAATTTACTTTTATGAATTTTATATAGTTCTTAGCTTCTAAAACCCTTTGTTACTTAGTGAAGTCTGTGTACACTTATCAGCTTCTGTGTAACTTGGTTTGATCTACTTTAGTTCAAATTTATGCTTCTTGATTCTGAATAATTTGGTGTAGTTGTTTCTACAAAAAAAATTAATATCCTAAAAAATTTAATGTCTTTTAGAGACCTAAACCACCCAAACATCATATGCCTCTTGAGCCAATGTTTGGAGTCTAATCCTTTTCTTCTCATAATGGAACATTTCACCATGGTTAGTAAAAAATATTTTTCTTTGCCATCTGTGTAATATTTTACCAGTTTGATATTTCACTTTAATTTTTTAATGAAGTATTTCCTGATCAAAGAAGTCCCTACCACTATTTTTGTTACTTGTATAAAAACAGTTTGATTGACAGATACAGTAACTTGTACTGCCTATGTATTTAGGTGACGTAAAATGATACAGTTTATCATGTTACATTCATAATATTCAAGAATACTTCAAGAGAAAAGTTACATTAATAACCTTTTAGTGGAACTTTTGAACATACAGTCCTAATCTATGCATTTATTGTGCTAGCATATGATCTTGTAAGAAATATAAACAAGTTGACTTCTTCGACATATTTAAGCATAAGCTGTTTTTTTTTTCCTAATATGTACAGTTTCTATTTGTGGTAACTTTTATGAAGAGAGAGAAATAATGAAATACAGTCAAAATGACTGTAAAATGAAACCTTGGACAATAACTACCTCTCCATGAGAACCAACTTTTGGACAGCCTCAGTATGTTCCATTTTATGAGGAGCATCTGCATAGTAATTACTTTCTTAAAATGCTACTATGCTATAGTCCATACAATTTCCCATTTATTAAAATTCTGTATATGTGGGTACCCAAGTATGATGAAGGGTTGTGACATTACTTGTCAGTTCTCTATTTAATTGCTATTAAGGAAGTACATCTGTTAGCTATTCTGATTTTCCACCTTTCTTTTTCTCTGGACTTCCCTAGCAAAATTGCACAACTCACTGAAATCTTTTTCTATTTATTGAATATGATTTTTCTATTTAGAAAGTTGGTAGGTATGAAAAAAAGATAGATTTATTTTTGATTCGGTAAGGTAATTCTATTTTAGTTGTATTGATAAACAATTATGTTATTTATACTTCTGTCAAATATATATATATATTGACAAAGATCTGCCTCCTTTTAAAAATAAAAGTTTTATTTCTCTACTAAATGTATTCTGTGATACAAAAATAAACAACATATATTATTTTCTAAATCATACAGCTGTGAGATTCTGATTTTTTCAGATGTTAAGTACATGTGTGTAAAGGAATGATAGTAATATTATTAAACCTATAGCAGATGTGTATAAAAACATTTGTTACAGTAAAGAAAATCTCATTATTAACTATGTGTCCAATTTTTTACATAAACGTTATATTAATTACGTTCACAGTATTACTGGTGATAAAATTTGTTAGAGGATCAAATATGGTTACACTTATCAGTTTTGAACTTGTTAATGTAGTTGTTTATATAATGTCTATGAGCAGGATATGAAAGAATACCTTATTCAGCTTCGTCATGATTCAGAGAAATTGCTAAAGGAAGGACAACTGATGAGCATGATGTGTGATGTTGCGACAGCTGTACAGTACATGCATGAACATGAGTTTATCAGCAGGTAAGTTAGGTTTCCATAGTAGAGAGGTACTTACGATTCCTTTGTACCATATAATGTTAAAGTTAAATCTAAGTATTAGATATACAGGCAATAAAATGTTCAAATTGAATGAGCTGGTGGGCACCCTAGCAGCAACTCCTGTTTGTCACTTCTTAGTTAATATTTGTAAGAATGTGTGGTTTTGTTCCAAACCTTAGTTTGTTGATACCTTGTTTAATGTTTTGTAAAATATTATTTAATGTTGTAAAAAATTTAGGTGGTTAAAAATTATTGAAACTGTAAAAAAAGAAAACTTCTGCATTGACTTGTAAATAACTAAATAATTTTTCAAGTGAAAAATGGAGACCTTACTTGATACCAGCAACCAAAGAAAATGCAGTAGCTGAATGAAGGGAGGCATCTTACTCTTCATCTGATAATCAAAGACAAGAGAGCCAAGCAGGCATGAAGACTGTAATCAATAGCCAATAGTTTACAGAAAAAGGGTCTTAGCTAACTGAAACCATAATTTATAACTAATTAACCAAAGAAAAAATGATAGGGGAGTATAAGGTGGAGACCTAACTTGAAAGCTGATAGCCAGAGAAAACGAGATAACCAAACAGAAGGTGGAAAGTTTATTAAGTAGTTGATTACGTAAAGGGCAGTAACAAAACAAAGTGGAGAGTGTTCAATAACTGATAACCAAAGAAAAGGCAGTAGCTAACTGAAAGATGAAGAATTCACTTGATAGCCAATAACCATAGAAAAATTGATAGCTGAACAGAAAATAGACACCTTCTTTTGTGTCATTTCCTTGGTGTTAGATTCCTGAGAGGATTGTATCCTAGGAAACAGTGATGGACCCATTGTGTCACAGAATACTAAACCCCAGTTTACACTTACTGTATAGTGAACCACTATCAATAGTTTTCACAAGTTGAACAAACTCAAATGATGTAAACTAACAGAGATTTAGCTTAAATGGACTGCTCCTGCATGTTTCTAGAATATGATGATGTTTTGGCTTCTATACTGAAGAAGGCCCCAGTATAGAAGCTAAATCATTGTCCCATTTTAGAAACAGGGAGAATAGGCCATGTAAGACAATTCTCTACTATGTTTACACTACCTAGAATACACTTGAAACAATATATCTTATTTGGTTTACTCTCCCTTCTGTTTTATTATAATTATATACTGTTACACTTTAAAATATGACAGTGAATGTCATAGTAGAGAATGCTGCCTGGCTCAACACAATATATGCACAACATTTGGTTTCAAGCTTGTGCCAACTCCATTTTATTCCAAAATACTGGGTCCATATTTAACTAGCAGGCACAGATATTTTATTTAAAACGTGTATATATTAATTGATTAGTGAAGCACATATTACAAGATTGTTTTTAAAGTTCATTAACACTTTGTATGTTGGATAAAATAACATAGTAAAAAATACAAAGTAGAATTGCTTTTATTGAAACTTATTAGACTGAAAGTTGGAAAAAGACTAGTGAGTTTAAACACTTAAAGCTGACAAACTATTGAGAACCTATAGACCTAAAAAATTATAATAATCAAGTTAACTGTAGATGCCCCCCCCCCCTCACACTCACATTCTTCTAAATTTGTCCATTGTGGTTCAAAATCAGAGGTGTGTAAAAAAGAGCACTGGATCTATCTTTTTGTCTTCCACAAGATGCTGCTTATGAAGATTTTTGTTCAATACCTAGATTCATCAGTATTAATACTGCATATATAAATAACATTTCATAATCTTTTTGTCTCATTGTCCAGCCCAA